TCCTGACGTTACCTTGTTTCATTTTTTTTTTCAAATCACTCCCTCCTATTCTAAAGAAGTTTTCACTTAAAAAAAAAAAACAGGAATGAAAGTAGGAAAGGGTTGGGGGAGGGAGAAGGGTAAAAATGAACGAAGACTGAAACTATCATGCCACGAGGAGAAACCTTACTTGTTAAACAAAGTCAGACAAGTTTCGATAAGGTCATCGTGTCTATAAGCGTGGGTGGTTTATGCATTAATGTGTTGGAAGGTCATGTAATTAAAGTAGTTGAATGAGGAATCCTCCCCCCAACCAAAAAAAAAAAAAAATAAAAAAGAAATAAAACTGATTATGATACATATATGTATATATACATATTTAGAAAAAGAGAAAGAGAATAAAAATAATAGAGAATCGTGGGAAAGATTTAACGAGTCAATGATATAGTGGAAAATTTAGTGAAAATGCACGTATTATTTCGTTTGAGAATACGTTAATAGGGACACTACTCATGTACGGTTGCATTAAACTTCGAGTACTATGTTCAGGATAAATGAAATCTCGACATATATTCTCATCATCCCTCTTTCTATCTCACACCATCGAAATTATATTTTTCATCGTGTATATTCGTCGTGCATGATAATATACACGTGTACAAATATTATACGTGCAGCAACATACGTGCACCATATATATGTACATCGTATTCATTTTATCGTTAACAACATTACTATCGCGTTCTACTTTGTTATATATATATATGTATATATAAATTTATCAAGTATTTGTTTAAAATCAATATTGAAAAAATGTATTACCTACCTACCATATGTATATATTTTTTTAATTTTATATATTAATTGTATATATTATTATATTATTTATTATATTGTATAATTATATAGAACAAATAAATAATATTATAGATATATTATTATTTGTTGTATACTATTAAATAAAATAAATTAAAATATCCTATTATATATTTTAAGGATTTATTTAAATTATATAAATCCTACTATATTTTAGGGATTTTATAAAATAATAGGAAAAAAAAATGATAAATAGGTTGTTTAACAATTAAAACTAATATTGAAACAATTTACAATTTATATATTTAAATAAAAAATTTTTTAAATATTTACCATTTATATATATATATATATATATATATATTATATATTAATAAATTATTTTGTGTTGTATACCCATTAAATAAAATAAATTAAAATATCCTATTTTTTATATTTTAGGGATTTTATAAATTAATCGTGGAAAAGAGGATTATTCACATGTTCATTGATTTATCTCAAATCATTTTATTTGAAGATCGATTAGTATTGTTCTCTCTCTCTCTCTTTCTCTTTCGTTCTCTTTTACCTGCTATTCTCCTCTCGACACATTTTTTTGTTTGTTGTAACCTCACAAATAAAAGTATTACTATCCCGACTACGACGTTGCGATAAAACGTACACGATCGGGTGGTTTTCTGCTCGTGACTCGTCGATACATCCCTCTGCTTCTTTCTTTTTTTTTTTTTTTTATTTTTTTTTTAAACGTTGACATAGAAAAAAAGAAAAAATAGGGAAGAACGTTTGACGAGTCTCGTTTTTTCTCACTCTCTCTCTTTCTCTCTCTCTCTCTCTCTCTTTTTCTAAACAACTTTTTAAACCAATAGATTTGTACGTGTCATGATAATAGGAGAGGTAGTACCTACAACTTAAACTAAACAAGTCATACTTACAAATTTTCAAGGTTCACTAATAATAGTTTACAAATGTTAAAGTATAAAAAAATGTGTTGTTTTTTCTCTTTTTTTCTTTTTTTTTGCTTAATCTTTTACGTAAAAAACATTTATCGTTAAAATGAACGAAAAAAAAAAAAAAGAAAAAAAGGAAAGAAAAAAAAAATAGACAAAGTTTTTATTCGATATATTCGTGATCGAAATAAGGTCCAAGGTTCTTTTAGGTAAGTCGAGGTCAGCGTGTATAAACCGGAAGACCAAAGCGATTAGGAAGGTGCACGAGAATTACGAGATATCGAGACTATAGCGATATACATGTGTATGTGTACATACCTATATATATATATATATGTATAAGTGTTACAGTTCTATGCAAATACTTATATCTCTTTTTGCAAATGTATGAGTAAACTACGCGACATACTTTTTCTCTTGTTTTATTTTTTTTATTTATTATTTTGTGTTGTATTCTCACCCTCGTTGTGTTGTAAAAAAAAAAAAAAAAACAGAAAAAAAAGTTGGATCGAACAAAAAAATAAAAAAACCAGCAAGCTATATTTTAGACCTTTTAAATTCTCGAATCTTACGAATACTACAACAACAACAAGCCAATAGAAAGGAACGTGTGAATTTGTACGAAAAGAAAAAGAAATATAAAACATAACTGTACACATACACGTACACATTCACACATCATATATACACACATATTTATATATATATATATATATATGCATAAAGTTTTGATCGATGTTTGTACACGTGTGAACCGTTTAGTTTGAACGTAAATAAAAATTCTCGCGTTAAGAGAAATTAGCAAGGAATAGAAAAAAAAAAACAGAAATAAATATTTGACCAGTCTAACAACAAAAACAACAACAACAACAACAACAAAAACTGGGTAAATTTGAAAAACAAATTCTACGCTTTATTTGCATTGTAAATTAAGTTCGAAGATCTCTTTAACAGGGTGGTAGGTACTACTACGATGAATTGTATATACGTGTGTGTATATAGAAATGAGATGGTGTGTGTGGGTGCATCGTAAATCGTTTTGGAAATAAAACGAATGACAATGAACTTTTAAAGAGTTTCCTCCCTTTCCCTTAGAATAGAAGAAACAAACGAATAAATAAAATTAAAAAAATATAAAAAGAAGGATGAGAAATGTTAGAAAAAAAAAAAAAATAGAGTTTGGTTGAAAAAAAAAAAAACATTGATAAGAAAATTTCTGTTCTATCCTCTGCAACAAATGAATAAACAAACTCATATACATGCACGTGTAAGTTGCATTTTACAATTTTATTATTAAAGTTGAAAGAATAAAATGTAAATAAAATTAAAAATAAAAAAAAAAGAAGGAATAGAAATGTTAGAAAAAAAGAGGGCACTGCTGTAGAAAAAACTTTGATAAGAAAATTTGTGGTCGTATCTCTGCAACAAATGAATAAACAAACACACGTATTATGCACGTGTAAGTTGCATTTTACAATTTTATTATTAACGAACGTCATAATCCTTGCGTTCGTGACGAGAAATAACAAAGAAAATCCGAAGAATTATATTTCTCATATATTTATTTCTTTTGACAAAGTATGACAACAAGAATCACTGAGAGAGAGAGAGAGAGAGAGAAAGAATGAGAAAGAGAAAGATAGACGAGAAAAGAGAACGTAAATTAATCGTCTCTCGTTTATAATATTCCATCATCTACAATAATGGAAAACTGTTGCATATTTCAAAAGCAATCATTCGATTCGTTTCATTCTTGCATATAATAATAACAATAATAATAATAATAATAATAATAATAATAATAATAATAATAATAGTATTATTAATAACGATAATGAATGATGACGTTAATAGTAGACGTGATAAATAAAATTAAAAAAAAATTAAAAAAATAATAAAAAAAAAACGATGATAACTTTTACATTAAACAATTATTCAACTACGATAATTTAAACCATCATTTTATTTTTATCAATAAGTTTAATGTTTTCTTTTCTTTTTTTTTTTTTTTTTCAAATGAATTTGTTCAAAATTTAAATGTTACAGTCGAAATTGAAACGAATAAAATAAGATTTTAAAAATTGATCTTAGGTTTGATTGATTGATTGATTGATTGATTTATTGAAAAGATCACTTTTTTTGTTGTTTATATTATGAACAATGAAAATTAACTTACAAAACATTGATTTAGGAATCACTTGGTATTGATCGCATTTCTCCAACGCTCTTTAAATAGTACTTCTACACAAACCGGATCGAAGATACGATGCAAGAAAACAGAACAAGAGAGAAAAAGAAAGAAATAAAGTAATAGACAAATGGACAAATCAAGTGAAGTAACAAATATAATGATAAAAATCGTTCCAGTAATAATAATAATTAATATTATAATAATAGTACCTTTCAAAATTGTTAGATCAATCGATTTTATAATAAAACGTTCACTGTAGCATAATCAATAATATTAAAAAATATAAAACATAACAAATAAAATGATAAAAATCGTTCCAATAATAATAATTATTATTAATATAATAACAATAACTTGAAAAATTGTTAAATCAATCAATTTTATGATAAGAATTTCACTCAAACATTTTCAATAATATTAAAAAATATAAAACATTATTAAAACATTCTCTTTCTTTCTCTCTTTTGCTTTGAGCTTATGAATAATTCAATTTAAAAAAAAAATAAATAAATTAATGCACAAGACAATCTTACAATAATATAAATAAAAAAAAAAAGTATCCACTAGAAAAGATATAAATTTTCGATCGATATAATTGTAAAAGAATTATCAATCCAGAACCATCACCACCACAACCATCACCATCACCACCACCGCGTGGTCAAAGCATGCTTCGTATATACTTACTACGTTCTATACTAACTACAAACGTCAGAGGGTGAAAAAGGCACATCAACTATCCCTCTTTTCCCTCCCATCATCTTTCTCACTCAAACACGCGCACACATACGAATAATATCTAACATAAACATATATTTTACGTTGACAAATTTCAAACTTGTCAATTACTTTTACCACTTACAATATTTTTAATAATCATATTTTGTTATTTAAAATATGAATAATTAAACAAATTCGAATGATAATAATAATTTTATGAATCATGCAACAATTCATTGAAATAATTTAATCAATTACTTTGTTAATAATAATAATAATAATAATTGTATTAAAAATAAAAGTTAAAAATGTGACAGGTAAGAAAGAAAGAGGACAGACAGACATACCTAGGACAAATTATCGAAGGGACATAGCAGTCCAAAGGGTCTCTCGAAGATAGGGAGAGGAAAAGGTGGTGGTCATCTTCTTCATCCAGCAAAATCTTCTTTTCTTCTTTTCATAACTTTTATCTTCCTGTATTATTTTTTCTTTTTTTTTACGAAAGCACCTAACAACAAACGATATTTTTCTTCTTCGTTGTTATTTTCTCTTCTTTTCTTTCTCTCTCTTTCTATCTCCTATAATAATAATTATTCGTTTATCCTATAACTCTACTACTACATAAACATAAACATATACATATACATATATTACATATATATGTTTGTTTTTATATGTGCGTCATATATATACTACGCATGTTTACGTAGAATCGAAGAAAATAGAGAGCAAGTGAGTAAGAGTGAGTGAGAGAGAGAGAGAGAGATAAAAAGAGAGACAAAGAGAGACAGGTAGAAATCGAGATGAAATAAAAGTCGCCGACCAACCACCGTTCGCGCCCGTGTCGCTCGGTCGACTGACTGCTGCTTTGCTTCTTCCTATTCCCCCTCCAGTCCACCTGTGATACTCCCACCACTCACTGAAACGCACCGAGCTCCTTCTACCCTTGATTCTTCCATTCACCTACGATTTTATACACGTTATATTATTGTTTATAATTTTATATTGTTTTTTCTTTTTTTTTAATAATTTCAGTTCAAAGTAATACATTCGGTGTGTAGTGTGTAGTGTTGCGAGTTATCTCAGTCGTATATCAGAATATATAAACCGAAAATTGTTCTTCAGTAGAATAATATAATATAAAATATAATATATAATATAATAATATAATATAATTAATTAATTAATTAAATAAATAAAATATTAATTAATTAATTAATAATTATTTTCATACAAAGTATCATATTACTAATGTTCAACGTGTTAACTCGTTGTCTCATTCATCAATTGGGATCAACTCGATTGGTTTTTTTTGTTATCGTTCGATTATTTCCCCCTCTTCCTCCCCCCCCCCGATCATTTGGTATAAGAAAAAAAAAAAAGGAAAAAAGAGGAAAGAAAAATGTAAATTGTTTTCTCCGTGGATCGTTAGGTTTCTTTCTTTTCTTACCCCCATTCATTCCTGAATCGATCGTAAATAATAGAAGGATGAGGATGAGGATGAGGATGAGGATTGCCCAATCAATTCGATCGGATTATTTTTCCTCCCTTAACCCTTATTTTTTTTTTTTCTTTTGTATTCCTTTTACCATCTAAGATTTTCTTCTTCTTTCTTCCTCTTCCGTCTTTTCTTTTGTTCTTTTTATTTTTTCATCTTCTTCTTTTTCCTTTGTGTGTGTCTCTATCGATGAATATACACCTTCGAGAATATTCATCAGGAACAATAAAATAATTACATTAGATTAAAAAGTAAATAATTACAATTAAAACATTGTAATATTAAATTATAACTTTATAAAAAGTTGTACAAAATATTGCAAAATCATATGAACAATATTTTAATCTAATTTTTCGTCGTTTTTTTTTTTTTCTTTGATAAATAACGCAAATCTTTTTATCGTTTGATAAATCAAACGAAACAAATCTCGAAACAAGTTAATAAGTGCAAGAACAAACTGCGAAATGACATAGAAAAAGAAGAGAGAAGGGTAGAAAACGGTGAGGGTGGGAAGATGGTAAGGAGGGTGGGAGGGTGGTAAGAGATAAAGACAAAGAGAGAGAAATATATTATCTAATAATAGAAACTTTTAGACATTATCGAAGAAACTGTAAACTCGTTCTGTAGTATTATATATACTCAATCCTTGAAATTCGATGTACTCTTTAATGTCTTTTTCAAAACTCTCTCTTTTCTTTCTCTTTCTATATATATATATATATATATATTAGTTTCTATTTCTATCAGTCTCTTTCGAAGAATTACTTGGAAACATCACCGTGGACTTTTCCAAGCTTAAAACGAAAAACTTCTTTTCCACTCAAGTTTGAACGATTCACTGTCTACGAAACTAATCTGATCTTCTAGGATCATATTTTTCATTGGGACACGTATCAAATGTATATGTATATGAGTACAACTATATATAAATATGTACTTTGAAACTTTGACATACTCATGTATCTTGTCTTCTTAATATCCATCTGGTTAAAAAACTTTCTACATGTACAATATACCAGATGAATATTATTTTAAATAAACGTATTAAACCTTACGCACTGGCTGGGACCATATGCTGTCCCAGTTCTGGAAAATTTGTCAATCAATTCAAAATTCAATTGTGAAATCACTGTTGTTAATGGTGCACTGTTATGGGGACATTAATGGGTCTCAAAGTCCAATAAACTGATGTTTGTAATGGAACACACGTGGACTGATTTTTCGACGTATTAAAAAAAGGGTTAAATAATACGAAGAATTTTCATATATAAAATACACACACACATACATACATACATACACAAAGTGGTACAGGAATAAAAAAAAATTACGTAGGTAAAATTACGTTGAGATTGGAGGATCTTTATTGCAAAAAGATTTCTAAATCTAGATGAAATTCTTTCTTTTTTTTTTTTATCCGTGAAACTATCGAGGAACGAAAGAACAAGATTATAAAAAAATAAAAAAGAATAATAAAAAAAAAAAAAAATAAAAAAAAAAAACAAGGTAGGTATATAGGTAAAGGTAAAAAAAGAAAAAAAGAAGAAGATAAAAGAAGATGAGGTCATCGGTAGTCGAGGGTATACGCGTCCGATCGAATTTCCATTCCAGTCGAAATGAAATTCCTCTTGGACACCCTGCCCTGCCCTACCCTGCCCTACCCTGCCCTGGTGCCCTATCCAACCCTTGTTCGACTATCTCATCGAAAGATATGTAGATGGATAGCTTCGATAGATAGATAGAAAGATAGATAGATAGATGTTACATGATCTTTTAAATTTGCAAGAAGAATTCAGTCACTGTGTTCCACCCTCTCAACCTTTTCACAACTACCATCATCACATTTACATACACCTTCAGCACCATTTCCTTCTCCTCCTCCTCCTCCTCCTCCTCCTTTTCCTCCTTCTCTTTCTCTTTCTCCTCCTCCTCGTCGTCCTCCTTTTCTCACCACTTTTATGAGAACTGCGGTATCTTATGCATTTCCAATAACCGATCAAAGGATAAAGATCCTTCCTCAACTCGACGTATACCAACCAGGACTTGAGGAGCCCCGTTCCTTCTTTTTCTTTTCGTCCTTTGCCAATTTTAAATTCATACTTACAACTATGTTTTATACTTTTACCAATATTTTTCTACAATCCTCTTTCTTATAAATGTTTATTACTGCTGATACTAGTACAACATTATGTGACGTTTGTTTCAAACTTTTTATCGAAAGGAAAACTAGTTACACATTTTTACAGAAACAAAATATATAATTAATATAATTATATTATTTTATATATATATATTATATTAATTATATTTTATATGTGAAACTATCGAGGAGTGAATAAAATTATAATAAAATAAAAAGAAATAACAAAAAATAAGATATACATATAAAATTGAAACAGAATATAATTAATATAATTATTATTTATATATAATATATTTAATTATAGTTATATATAAATTAT